AAGTAAATTATAGGAACTTTTCATAATGTTATAGGAATTATTCCCGTATTATTATGATTTTCATTGTATAAAATTCATAAATTGATAGTTACAAAAAAAAAATTATAAACTAAATTTTATATATTTGAGAAGTAATAAAAAATATATATTAATGGATTTAGCCGAATGTCTATTTTCACATATAATTGTAAATATTATGTCTGTTTTTAATGAAATATTTATTCCTTTCTTGTATTAAAATTTAAACTTGCATTAAATTCAGTAGTACATGATGCAAAAATTAAATTTTACTTGATTCAAGATAATACAAATCTTCAAAATTATTTTTTTTGTTCAATAATTTTTTTTTTGATTCGAGTTAATTTTTTTTTTCAGTGAAGAAATGATAATATAAAATAGAGAAATAGAATCTGAAAGCGAATAGCTGCTCCTGTTGTCTTCCTGTAGTCTCTCCAAGCGTAAGTATTATAGTCCCTTACCTTGGTGTGTCCTTGAACTTGAACGAGTAACGACCCCCTTCGTATTTTCTCGGCTAGCACCAGCTCTACTCTCCTCAGAGGTAACTTAAAGTTAAACCTAGAGTCTATAGAGACTATAGAGAGTATAGAGGATGCCTCTACTCGGAACAGTCTACAAAACGATCTTCTAAGATGCCTCTCGATGCTCACCATAGCGGAACGTCGATGCACAAACAGATAAATGGACGGTATACTGGCAATACAGGTATAGCAAAACTAACTAAAACTTAAACTTGGGTTCGTTCTCTTCTCGGCTCTCCGTGTTTCGTGTTATAAGATTATTACACACGGGATTTAAATAATAACAACAACTTTGTTATTAGATAATATGTTACGTTTTGTAAGATATGATAAATTAGCTGGATGTTGTTGAACCGCTTATCAAGATTCAATTATGTATTAATATCGGAATTACAGACTAGTATTCTATAAATTTTGTTCTTCTTATTCTCAAGTTAGGTTTTCCGTTCTCTAGTTTACTGGGAATTTTTTATGCAAATAGAAATTTTTTTTTTTAATTTTTTGATATGTCAAATAATAGTGGGGCATTCCACAATTCGTAGTGTAATTACTATTTTTTGATAACTATTCGCAAATATAATGTAAAAAAAATTCAGAATGTTCCCGATTAACTTATCTTCATTTTTTCAACTAGGATTTTTACTAAAAGTACTAAAAAATTAACCAGAGTCTCCAGCAACAATTAATCTAGGTAACGGCATATGAGCCACCATCAATTTTGAGGCGGCACTGTAGTCGCTAAAGACTTTTCGGCTGTAACAGTATAAAAAATTATACTAAATTTTATGCTATTAGTTAAATATTATTTTAAGAATGTACTTTAATGACATTCGTAATTTTTGCTTAATGTTAACTATTATACTATATATAAGTTGGAAAGTAAAATAGCCTTAAAAAATTAATTAAATAAAAAAAAATAGTTAAACAATTAATTTTATCAAATTAAAATCTAGTTTTTTCAAAAGTAGAAGACCTATAAAAACAACAATAAAATTCCATTGATAAAAATAAATTTAATAAAAATTCTATTGCATGTATGCAGTAAGCTACGTTGAAATTTTTTATTTTGCATGCCTCAAACGCGAGCGTAAAGGTCTTTCATCTGAATTCCCCTTCTCCTCATAATATCGACTATATATTGAAATGGTACATTCAGACATACGGACATCATCGCGGAAACATTCGGGGAAGCTTCCTAGGAACTTAAAACGTCAACATCCGTTGAAAAATCGATTTTCGAAAAACGGTGTAAAACGAATAACTACCCAATTTTTGAAAATTTTCAATTTTCTTAGCGGGAAGTTAAAAATATTGCTTGAGCGCTTGAGTATGGAATTAGCGAGAAGTTGCAGGGATGGCCTTTAGGGTCAACCGTTTTCCGAATTTTTTTTTTTTCTATATTAATGAACTATGAGAAATTGTAGATATTAATTCACAAAGATTAGTCAACACTTTAACAATTACGTAAAAACATATTTTTTAAGGTTTAGTAATTTGAAAATATGTAGCTGTTTATTTTCATAACAATTACCATCACATAACATTTACGTTCAATTTTAACAGGAATTTTTTTCCGTGCCAATCTAAACATACAAAATTTCTCCATGTAGATATGTCGTAGTCTTTTAGCAAAATTCGTCATTTCATGAAAAACCTAGGCATTTCCAGAAATGTCGACGTTTTATGAAAAATTTTCAAGTTGCATTTCCCGCCTAGGTAGTTGACGAAATGAACACTCGACGCTGGCGCTTGATGATAAATCACAATATATACGTTATCTGACGGATTATACACTTGTATTTTTCATGAAAAGACTAGCTCGTGCAATAAACGTGCAATAATCCAAACGTAATCAAGTGTTTGCTAAATTAATTAATAAAAATGGAATGCATATCAGTAAATGAAGAAACTTTTAAAGAAAAGTATCGCGAATACTATGACAAACAACCCAGCAAACGACCCTGATGTGTACGGTCAGCTCAGTACACATCAGCTCAATTGAAAGAGGCAATAAATAATTTAATATTTTGGAGGTTAAGTCTTTACAAAAATTTTATTTATTTTTTTATTTATGATTTCTAGATTGCTGGAGAAATTGTTAAAGCTCTGGATAAAAAGGCTACTACGAAGACTCGCCGTGAGTACTATTTGATAAAGAAATACGACATAGTTACCATAGAAGATAAAACATACGTAGTAAAAAAGTCCAGCACTGCCAATAAACTAATTTACCTAACTCCAGAAGAGGAAATTTTCAAAAAATTAATTGATGTCCACATCAATTGTGGACATGGATCGCGAGATAAGATGATGGCTGTCATTAAACAGAACAGCTCCATTCCTCGACCCTGCGTCGAAATATTTCTCCAGTGTTGTCAAACATGCCAATTGAAAAAAAGCAAGACAGTTGCTAAAGTTGTAGTTAAGCCAATTCTGACAAAATGTTTCATGACAAGGGGACAAGTGGACTTATAGTCGATTTTCAGTCAATTGCAGATGGTGATTACAAATGGCTGCTTAATTATCAGGACCACGCTACAAAATATTTGTGTTTGCGACCCTTGAAAGCAAAACAAGCTACAGCTGCCGCTGACGAACTCATCAAAATTTTTCTACAATTTGTTGCTCCTTCTATATTACAAAGTGACAATGGGCGCGAATTTGTCAATAAAGTTATTGAAGAATTGAAAGTTAGCTGGCCACAATTACACATTGTTCATGGCAGACCTCGTCACCCACAAAGTCAAGGTAGTATTGAACGTGCCAATCAAGATGTTAAGAACATGGTTCGTGCCTGGATGGTTAATAATAAATCAACTTCTTGGGCGACAGGTTGTTACTTCGTTCAGTGCCAAAAGAATAATTCCTTGCATCGAGTAATTGGAAGAAGTCCGTACAAAGCAGTTTTTGGCAGTGATCCAAAAGTAGGTCTTGCTTCATCAAATCTCTCACAACATATGCTATCATCGTTAGTTGACAAAGAGGATCTGGAAAAATTAAGAATGGTGTCGAACTCGTCTACCGCCGCACCTGAATCAAGTGATATAAATAATAATACACGTGTCAATGAGTCAATTAGTTCTACCGAAGCTGCGGAAGCTGTGACCACTGAAACCGAAGCTGAGACAATTGAAACGCTGGAAAGGTGTGTGACCTGCCAAGAATATTTATCTGATGGCCAGAATGGCCAATGTCAAACTTGTTCTATGCCGATCCATTTGTCTTGTATGGAAAATGGATCGTGTTATTTCTGCAATTCGAGAGTAGCTATTCATTCTAATCAAGTTCAATCGTATGATGGTATGAAAAAACAAACTGAAAGCATGATAACAGTAACGAAAAAAATATTGCCAGATATAAATGTTGGAGATTGTGTACTAGTCAATGTTGATAAAGTTGACAGAAGTCCGAGAGACCCACAGAATATAGTCGCTGTAGTTACTGATGTCAAAAACGGTGTATATCAGGTTGAAACAACAGCAGGACTGATCAAATCGTGGTTTAATAAGAGTGACTTAAAAAAAGCGTCGTCTACTTTTCTCAAAGTTGAACAAGTTGACGTAAATACATTTGTTTCAATTCGAGAAGCAGTAGCTGCACAATCCTTCTTTAAAGGGCAAGGCTTCGTAAAATGTTATTGCCAACCTTCAAAAAATCAATGTCAAACAAATAGATATCTGTGTTTTAAGTCTAAGCTTCAATGCAATTCAAGGTGTCATAAAAGTGGACCGTGTGCTAATAAGTAAAATAAAATGAATAAATTGACAAAATAAGATAAGGTAGATTGACAAGATAATATAATTATTGATTTGTATTGTAATGATCGTGTTCATATTGATTATATTTTAAATAGGAATAAAAAAAGTTGTTTTTTAATTGATCCATTTTTTAATTACACTAGAATTTAAATTTACGCGCGCAAGCGCGCGCCTTGACTATAGAGTTTGCATATATTTTCATGCTTATGATATATTTGACCAATCACGTTACGAATAGTTTGATGCCACATACATTTCATCTTAATTTTATTATGGGATAACATTTGACACTTTACAGGCATTACACGAAACATCAAACTTTAAATTAAGCTGCGCCCGATTGTGTAACTTGGTTTAACTACGATATGCCAGAGTCGAGTGGTCATTTGATGAAAATGATAATTTTTCACAAAACGTCGACGTTTCGGGAAATGCCTAGGTTTTTCATGAAATGACGAATTTTGCTAAAAGACTACGACAGATACATTGAGTAACATTGAGCCAAATACATCCATGAATAATTGCTGAAGGGTGTGTAATAAAATATAACTTGTTGTTTTTTTTATTCAACCTCGTATTGTAGTAATATCAATTAATCTTTTAAATTGAATATAAATTTAAAGAATCATGACATATAAAAGATCATTGATATTTAATGGATTTCCTTTGGTGGATTGTTGAAAATTTCGTTTTCCTAAGTATGTCAAAGGAACTCCAAATCTTGCTGAGACATTTGGGGGTCCAAATAAGCGGGAATATCCAGAGTAGTCATCCTAAACCCAACGAACCCCGCAGAGTTCTCTTTTCCGCGATAATAGAGAGACACCCCCTCGAGCGGGATTCGTGGTTGCAGCGCCACCAGTCGGCTGTCAAAAAATGGAAACGCGTTTCGTCCACGATCTAGAAATCTTTCCAACGGTTCAAACCATGTCACAGAAAAGTCTTCCGATGACGGTACATGGCCATAGTATTTTGTAGGTATGTCTTTTTTTGCAGCATCAATTTTAGTTCTACGACGAAAGGAACATCCATTAAAAAGAATTAAAGAATATCCAATAAAAATATTTCAAAAAATTACCGGTTTTCGAATTTCCGGTCTTCATCGGACATGTATTTGTAAATTATCCACTTTGAAGGCTTATCATCAGTCGGAGTGAGCGACCCTGAATCAAAATCAAATGGTGTAATGTGAACGGCCAATTGTAATGACTCAAAATTTTCGGGATCTACAGACAACTTCAATCCAGTTACGACATAACCCGGTTCTCGGAAAAAAACATTGTCCAGGTTGATATAACGCCGTTCTTGTTTAACGAATATATAGTCAACAGATTCTTCCAATCTCATTAACTCGTCGTCAATTACCAATTCAAGCCGATCTTTAGGGTACGTTGAATATTCGAAAATTTCTAGCTCCTTCATGTGGATGGAGTATGTGTCAATCCGACCACCTGATAACAGTTTCCCTTCCTCGATTTGCAAATGGATTATAAGGTTTTTGAGCTCGAATTTTACACCAGTGAGTATCCTGGAATTGTATAATCACATAATAATATAAAATGTAGAATCATGTGAGGAAATTTTATTCGATGGTAATGCGCATCTTTATTCTACGACAAAAAATTATAGGCAATATATACCACAAAAAATTTAGAAAATTCAAAAGTGCACGCCTCATGACACTCATTGAATTTTTAAGATAAAAAAATGATAAATTCAAATATTTCACTCTATTTTAATCTCAGAAAAGATAAAAAAAATAGGGCGGAAGCGCACCAATAAACAGATGACCGAGTGCCAATGAGCTGCTTAAAGTTAGTCTCTATTTACAAATATATAGATATACCAAAGACAAGTCGTTCTTTTAACTTCCCGCTACGAAAATCGAAGATTTTCAAAAATCGGGAAGTTATTGTTTTTAGCCCGTTTTGCAAAAATCGAGCTTTCATAAGAGACGGGATTGTCCCTGGGTATTAGGTCGATGGACTCCATCAAACAAGAACACTAGTAAGCTGGAAGCTGTTAGTATCTGTTCGAACATATAAAGATGGAATGCTCCATCCTGACTTGAATTAGTTTAAACTAGTTAAAAACTGACCGCATTGGCGCTAAACAAACTCAATTAATATTATTAAGGTTAGTGGTTTGTTCAACTTCCATCATCTTATCTCTGCATAAGAATTTCCAGGTATTTAGCTTCATATGTCAATCGGTGAATTTTCTTTAGCTGAGATTTCTTGAAAAACGCAGTACTTTCTTTTTCAAATCGAAAAAATTGTGGTTGCAACAAATTTACTCTAAAACCTTTACACCAGCTTAAACACATATTGAAACAAGTACTAAAAAAACAGAAACATTAAGATTAATAAAAGTGCCCGACTTTCTCTGTAATAACAACAACAATTTCATCAACATAAATAAAAATAAATAAACACATAACATGGAAATTATCATAAAAATGATAGATGGATGTTGAAAGACGACGTAATAGTAAAAAATTAATAATTATCGACAATTAACCTTCGATTACAATTACAATAGTTTTATTAAAATAAATGACGGTCAATTTTACTAACTCAATAATCATGAATCATAACTTTTACAAGCATATACAATAATAATTATGTGAAGAGATATTTCCTTATATTGATAAACAGATTCGAACTATATACTATAGCATACTTACTACATATTATTATACTTAATAGATTATAATGAAAACCACATAACATAGCGTTTATATTTAACATTCCTTTATATATTACGAGTTATGATTATAAATATATGTATCGTGGACATGTAGAAGAGACGCAATCATGAAGTAATCTTTACTACTGCGTAACTGCTTTCACCGCGTTTACGGTCCGAGCATCATATCTCTGCAGATGTATGTAAAAGTACTTGTGATCTTCTAACGTTAATCCATAATTTTCATTTTAATATTTTTGAAGATTTTGTCTTCAAAAGTTGACAAAAGCGGTCCTGACTTCAAAAAATGTTGAATTTTGGCCAAAAATCTTAGATCTATGAAATAAAATTGGTTTAAACTTTCCTCATTAGTAGCAAAATAAATTAAATAGGTCGCATGAAAGTGAACAACAGGTAAATGAGGAACATTATTACTGATTTTTCGTACACTGACAAATAAATTAACTTGAATCCAGAGAAAAATTTATGAACCAATAAAATAATTTTGAAAAGTTAAATTGTTTTGAATCAAGTCAAAAATTTTTGAATTGAGTAAAATTTACTTAAACCTAGAAAAGTTTCTTAGTTTAATAATTTTTCTATTCAAATTAAAACGATATAAAGTTTTTCAAAATTATTTTCTCGATTCAAGTTAATTTTTTTTTCTGTGTAGTTCTTACGATTTGGTCACCAAATTTCATTGAAAGCGTTCCTGACTTCGAAAGTTGCCAAATTTCAGCCAAAAAATTCGCAACATCAATTTGTTTAGAAAACGTTGATTTTGTGTAAAACTAATAATATATTGGTCAAACGGAGATTAAAAAAAGGGAATTGTTGCGTTTTTCAAGCTCTATAATTTATTTATAGAAACTTTACACATCAGATTAATAGTTTCGGATATTTTAAGTTTGAAATTTACATTTTTTTTTGCTAATTTATAATTTGAAAACAAATTAAATCCGCCATTAGATACTTATTAAAATTCTTAACTTTACGCTGTAATTATTGAATAAGTCTCGATAGGGGTTTATTTCACCCTCAAAACTTAGTGTTAAGAATGCAAGATTTTCTTGTTCAGTAATTTAATTATTTAAGTCTTTATTATATTTCATATTTATATTTGCCGCTCAAGCGACACCTAGCGTATTTGTACTGAGACTGCGTCGGTCTACACGCAGCCTAGCGCATACGACTCACTCTCCGGCTTGCTCGCTGCGGCTTACACATCGTGTTACTTGGTCGCTTGACTAATCTTGTGCTACTACGTAGTTACGACTCAAGTACTTTTCTTATTGCTAACTTTATAATACGCATATTTTTTGATATCTAAGATTGTTAAGAAGTGTTTTTATATTTAATAGAAGATTAAATAAATATAGATTCAGTTTATATTAAACCTTGTGTTTCACTTTTTATTAATAAACCCGACACTTAGATTCTTTCAATCATTCATTCTATGGAATGAATATAATAGATTTTTGTTTCTTTCTTCGAAAAGAGGTCGCATAATACTTTACAAGCTATTGTATTGAAAATATTTATTACTTAATTACTTTGTATAGATAATTCGGGTCACTATGTGCCATTTGAACGAGACAGGCATTAGGCGTCGTAGCACCAGGTATACAATAAATAATTAAAACGATTTATGATGGGACTTTTAAAGTCATTGCTTACAAATTATGGTAAATTTTGAAAAATCTTCCTGCCAGACAGTCTTATCTCATGTTGTATTGTCCTTTTAAACAAATTTTCACTTAAAGTAATATTACTATATCTTAAGATATTAAAATTTAATGCATTTGATTTTTAATTATACTGGACAATTTAAAAATGAATCCATTTCTTAGGTATCGGGTATTTATGAAGATATTTATATGATTGCTCTACTTCTACAAATATCATGAAGAAAAACATCTAAAGACTTTATACAAAAAATTATAAACTGTAAACTGTATAAAAATCAGTCAAATCGTTCGAGAGATATTTAATTATAAAAAATTCCAAAGTAGTTTTTTTTTAACATAACTTCAAAATTTTACTTTGAATCGTTTGGTAGGTAATGAATAATTTTCTATTGCTTCAAAAACTGCGTCGAATGCTGCAAGTCCCATCAAAAACGATTGATTCGATCGGAATATATTACAATTTAGAATTTTCAAAAAAGTATGTATTTACAACCACTAAATTTTCGAGTACGAAGAGCTCGAATACGTAGACGAGTTGTATTTTTGAGCTCGAAGAGCTCAAAATTTTGGAATAAACAATTTACTGAGCGTTTTAAACTCGTACATAGCGGGAAGTTGCATGAATGGTCTGCAAGGTCAATCGTTTTCCATATTTTCGAAAAAAATTTTAATTATTCCGATGACTGACACTTTTGATTTGCATTATATTTTTCTATTCAATTGAAAAAGCTTACTGTCTGTTAATTTACAATTACTGGGTTACATACAATAATACTTAAATCTCCTTGGCGTCATGAGTAATTAGTAATTAGAGGGGGACATATCCAAGTAAAGTTTCAATAGACCCTTAGAGTAGTATTTAATGAACGTTCATTGGGCCTTACATTTAGCAGAGGGGATGTAGCAAATAAATATACCTAATTTTGGCAAAGTAAGAATCACTTTTTAAAATTCCTCGCTCTGTGCAAACGTGTGAATTTTTAATATACATATCCAAGTGCTTTAACTGTGCAATCTTCAATTTTTTTATTTGTGGTCTTGTTTTATCTCCAAGAGCTTTAATAGCGCAGTCAATTTTGTGTTTTTCTCATTTGTGAATTGTGAAGAAAAAAAAAACAAAAAATGTCTGTGGTGTGCCAATTAAAAAATTTTGAAAAATTGTACCACGTGTATTTTGATGAGGTGTCTATCTCGACAGAGGATGTTAAGACGGAAGTGATCCGTCAAATGCGTGTTAGTGAGGATCGGGACTGGGAGATCATCGCGATGGACCCAAAGACCAAAAAGGAATACAAGGATGAGGATACTGTTCGCCGTAACACCGCGATACTTCTCCAACGACGACTCATTCCAGAGAGTCAGCTACAGGAGAGGAAGAGGAAGCTGGAGTGAAAGCGCCGCGAAACTGAACTCCAGAATCAGTTACAGGACCTTACGAAGATGAAAGGAACGGAAGAGGAAAAAATCAAAAAGATGATGGAGATGTCAACGGCGGATTATGCACCGTCAAAGTGGCTGAAGGTACCATTTAAACAAACTGGACCGGTGCCTGCCTTTTACGTCTGCCACCGTTGCCATAAGCCTGGTCATTGGGTGTACGGGAAGCCAGCTTCGATAAAAAAGGCTAGAGGGATCCCCAAGACGATGATGGCAGAAGTCGAGGGCCCTGAAGTTCCAGGAGCCATGCTGGCTGCAACGGGGAAGTACGTTGTTTACTCTGGGCTCAAGGAACATGCGTCATCATCACTACCATCAGCAACGTCTTCGTCATCGTCAGTTCCAACCTCATCGTCACCATCGCCATCACCACCAACGGCTTCGTCACCGCCAGTTCCATCATCATCGTCACCATCATCATCACCATCACCATTACCATTAATATCGTTATCATCAGATCCACCATCATTATCTTTATCGATACCATCATCGAAGTCACGAGTCCATCATCATCTGCGCCTCCGCCATCGTTGCCACTAGAAGAATCATCTTCTTTATCAGCGTCGTCACCAGCGCTATTATCATCATCATCATCGCAGGGTACTACCGGGTTTTCACCAAATAGCTATACCCTGAACACCTCGGACAATGATTGGTACTGTTCATCTTCGGATGATCAGGGTTCAGGGTATTAGAACAGTTATTATGGGAACCCTACATATCAGCCATATCTTGGAAGGGAACCATCTTACCAGGAGGTAGATGGTTATCCAGGATACAACGGCTACAACGACTACAGCTACCAACAACAAACGCAGGTAATTGAAGATCCTCTTGATGAATTCGAGAGGTATCTTCAAAAGAAGGATGCTGAGAAGAGAAACCAGAGACATAGGACTAAAGGCTCCAGGTCCTTTGAGGGATACAGAAGATCACCCTCACCTTCGAGGAAACGAAGAAGATATTGTCAATTTTGTAAATAATTTTTTTTTTTTAAATAATGTAAATAAATTTTTTTGGTAAGGTAAAAGACCCCATTAGTGGCACCTTTAACCCCTATTAGTGGCACTTTTTCTTTCAATGAAAAAATGTTCTACTTGGAATAAAAATTAAAAATTTTTTTGATCTAAAGATCTTAAAGATTAGAAATAATACATTCATTATTGAAATTAATGATTTCGTTAATTAAATAAGTATTAAAATCAAAGAAAGTGTCAGTAATGCTCTTCGAGCTCAAAATGTATTTATTAATCAACTATAACTTTTGAATGCATCGTTCGATTTTCATTTTAAAAAAAACGTATTCAACGTAGTTTTTTAAGCACAAAAAATTTATACATGGTTTTATTATGATTTTTTCGCATGCTTTGAAGTTATTATTAAAAAACATAAAAATTCAAATTTTTTGTTGGTTTTTTTTTTTAAATTTCTTCGGAATGGCTCGATGGATTAACTCTCAAATCTAATCAGATCTAAGTTTTGATAAACCTTTTCGAATGATGTGTTGTAGAATTCAATCAGTTGGTTTGTTTTTGAGGAATTGAACGACATAAATTAGGAATAGTCAGAATGGCTTTTTAGGACCTCAAAATGTGGAGATCCGATGAAAACTCGACTTTTGAAAATCGGACCAAAATCAATAACTTCCCTTTTTTCGGAAATTTTTAATTTTCTGAGCGGGAAGTTAAAAATACTGAATCATTGTGTAATTACCATAGAAATAAGGATAACTCCTAAAATATTGAGTTTAGAAAAAAATCATAGGAATTTAAATTTATAGCTTAGGAAATTTCCTATACAAAACAATCCTACACTATAGGGCTACTTTTAATATTTTAAGAGTTATCGCTAAAACATTATTGAAACTACAAAAAATAAAGCTATATTATAAATTTTTTTTAATTTTATCTAGAAATTTAAATAAATTTCTTGCAACCGTTGACTCTACAAAAGCGAGAGTTATTCTTTACGACAGAATAGATTGTTGCGGTAGAAGAGGTTGAAAATATTACGTTGCTCGCGTTCTGCTGGGTCGTCATTCCCCTGAAATAAACCAACAAATACAATCATGATTATAATCTATAGGGAAGAAAGGATAGAACGAGTGGGAGGACGAATTTTATCGAGCATTTATAGTTACTACAAGATAGTTTTGGTAACAAATAATACTCAAAAGCACCGTTTGAGTCGTCATAATAAATATTACACAAAATAACACTACTCCGGGCGAACCGGCCACATATATAACAAGTATAGTATATCTTCTTTCAGTGTGAACAATTTGGACTCTTGCGTATACTGGACAGAAAAACTACCTCTGATCGTCGCTCCTCTGGATCTTCCTTCAGCGACTAATTTATTCCAGCCATCTTCGGCGAATTTAAACATATCTAGATCATTTACACTCAATTTTAATTCGTATAAATCTTTTTTTTCTTCACAACTACAATTATTTGTTGAGAAAGACAAAGACAGGCTTGATGTTAAAATTACCGACATTAAAGATAATTTACACATTTTTATTTTATTGCTTACGGTCAGTTGCTTCTAAATCGAAGAACTGAAGATTATTGGAAATAATAAACACTGTA